TTATCAATTTCCTTGCCGTTTAATTCGAGAGAGTTGGATCCGGAAAGAAGTAATGCATTCATGGTCAGATCACATTATCTTGTTTTTCTAGTAGTACCTATATTCTTCTTTGAACTTTCCTTCTATATAGACCTCGGCTTGACTGATATCCATAAACACATCTTCCTGATTGAGAACGATTTCGATTTCGTCATTATAGTTGGAAGATTTGGTGAGAGAATGGCAGGTATGCCATTCTTCTCTCGCTGTGAACTCATCGGTGTTGACCGGTTGAAATATCGAAAGTCCTGATGCGATATCCATATTTAGTTGTCAGAGAATTCAACCGAATCCCGAATCAGACTTTTATATGTTAGTGCAGATCGGATTCGTGTAGACATTGGCTTTCAGAGACTGGTTCGAGTACAATCCATAGTCATGTGTTTGGCTAGATATAACCCACTTCCTTTTCTCCCTAATGCAATGGCTTCCATATTTTCGTTGTGTCGCTTAGATTCGGCAAGTTTATCCGTTGCAGAATGAGTGTCGTTTATCGTTTCTGCAATACCCGCAGCTCCATCACTTAGGGCACTCAATGCATGACGTCCAATGAACAGAGGTATTAGTGGAATCATTTCGCCCATTTTCGATACCCGGATGACTAGTGAAACTCGAATATTTTTGGAACCAACGGCTTTTTTAACGATTTTACAAGCTGCTAGAAGAGCTGATTTGATAAAGTCTTTTGTCCCCCACGATGCTTCACTTGTTTTCTTACATTATAAATATGTCTTGAATGGCTTGAATCTCTTCGGTTTTTTCATACCGAGTTTACGTTTAGCTTTGATTGCAGTAGTTATAAGTTACGCAGCAATGTTCTCACTAAAACTAGAATCTTTCGCCTTCACCAGTTCCCACGAATTATTCTCCAACTCCAACCTGTATTGTAGATCAGTATTCTGAGCATACTCGATATCGTGTTCCTTAGACTAACTGTCCAACTTGCTTTTCCGCTTATCACCACGTGCTAATTGCTGCTCACATCTTATTCCAGGACCAAAATAAGTATATCCACTGGGCAAATGCAATTCAAACGGGAGCTTGTTAATGGGCTATTTAATAGACTCACACGATGACGTAATAATTTAGAATGAAACCGGGTTAGATTGAACATGGTTCATAAACATGTTGAAACTGGTTGTCAGCGTAAATTTTCACACTAATAGCGATAACGAAGATGATTTCGACCAGCAAGCAGCTCAATTGGATTCAGTCTTTATATTGAATGACGTGGTTTGTGAGAAACAGGACCAGATGCGAAATTATTTTTGCATGGGTCGACACAGGGCTATTGATTCATTTTATCTATGTCAGACATATCCAAAAATCCTAAGGCAGCTGGTTAGAGATAATGCCAACATGTGAATGCTTTTCAAACAGGATGCTATGAATCTAAGACATGTTTATGACATGTGAATACAGATATGGCTTTCAGGGTGTTCAAAATTTTTTGTTCATAGTGATCGAAGGAGAAATATGGATTCTTGGTTATTGTCAAGGATGATGTGTCCAACAACGATAAATATTGCAGTAAGTTCAAGACCTTCATTAGCCCATAAGTGATTTCCACGAATCAGTATCTGTAATGAAATTGTTGCTAACACACTTATCCAATAGATGCTTTGTCTTTTGGCCTGTAGTGGTAGAATAGCTGTCAGTAGATGTACAAAAGCTGGTGGACACTTAGAAAAGCTGGTCGCAGCTTAGAAAAGCCCCCTGTAGCTAAAGAATAGCTGCCTGTCTGTCTGTAGCAGTTTGTCTGGCTGTTGCTGTCTATCTGTCGTTCTGTCTAAAAGCTAGTTCAGACCTTTCTCCAATTGAAAATCATGGCTTCACTCCCAAATAAAAATGATAGGGATATCAAGAAGAAAATACTGAAGGCTGCCAGATCCATAGGTAAAAAATATTTGGCTCTTAAGTTAGAAAGAAATGAAGACGATGAAGTTTGTTAATAGAATTATAAGCCCTATATGGGAGCTTGTTGAAAGAAGGGCTAGAAGGAAATCTCGAGTTAAAAATTAAAAAGTTGAGCTTGAAGCTCCTAAAATAGACGTTAAGTTCGAGCGCATTATTCCTAGACATGTAGAGTTCCAAAGAGAGGCTATTGCTATTGCTCAAACTAGTGAGAATTTAAGAGATGATGATGATGGTGAAGAGGAGGTTTTCTATGAACCATTGCAAGACGATCTATAAAAATCAATTATCGAACAGTTTTCAGATCAGTATCCCAAAATAGCACAAGAATATGTAGATAGGTACTATAAAGAACCGGATGAGATAGATCCCTCTTGTCGCTTAAAACATTATATGAAAACTGATGATAGGACTATGGGATCACAAAAAGTTGACCTTCTTTCAAATAGAGATATCAAAGTGGGTAGTGTAATTTATAAAGGAACACAACGACTATATGACTTACTATTCATAAAAAGCCGTTATATCATACAGAAGATGATAGGCCATTAAAACAAGTTAAATCATCTACATTTTCGAAATATAAAGAAAGCGTGTTAGAACAATGGTTTCGACATCAAAAGTATCAACGAGGCTTTAATCAACCTACACACCTCCTAGGTCGATTAAAAATCTACCTACAAGATCTAAAACTAAATCAGGAAGTTCTTTATTAGAATATACCTAATAGGAAATCGAAGCAGTATGTTTATTATGATGACGTTAACAATAATTGACAGACTTGCAAAATTTGGATGCATCTCAAGAAGCTGAAAATACCAATCACATCCATGAGATTATGAGTATTTTTCAGAGTAATTAGTTGAGTTGTGTGTAATCGAGTTCAATAAATAAACGTATTCTCTTTATCAAAAACAATTTTAGTGTTAACTGCAATAAAGTTTAGATCTCTTTAGAATATTTATAACATGTCTTACATCACGAGAGCTGAGAGCAGGTGCTTGAAGAAATACATGAGCCAGCACGTAAAAAGTTTATTCGTAGAAGATTCATACAGATTGGTCTGGATGACACTTTTGCTACAGATTTGGCTTGATCAGGATTCTCGAGAACATAAAGAATTCAAATATATATTGGTTCTTATCGGTTTTTTTTTTCCAAATTCCTCTTGACCAGAGCTGTAAAATCGAAATTTGCATCGGACGTTACCAAAGGTATGGAAAGCATATTGAAACTTCTGGAAGAATACCCAGGAAACTTATTTACGATAATGATAATACATACTATAACATACAATTTTCGAATCTAATGGAGTCCTGTAAAAAAAAAACCTGTATATAATTAAAACCCATCTGGGGAACAATATGTTGATAATAATCATAATTTGATAGTTTAGAAAAGTATTTATCTAAATATTTATGGTTTTATTTGACCTCTCCGTGAGGCCTGAACCTTGGCCAACAAAGTCAACTTTTCAATAAAGTACCTATCACCACTCAATATCTTCGTTATCGTCGATAGATCCCACGACCGTCGCCTTTCACTTCGCGCCGGAATATCGAGAACGCGAGAAGCAATGCTGCATTGTGATTGGTTTAAATCTAGAACCCGCAACATACACTACTGCAATGATACGATAGAATCGGACTAGAACTTCACACGAAAAATCTTATACAAGCCTGCGCCAAATACTAATACGCAAGGTGTAGCTGTAGTTATCAATCACCAAAAAATATGAAATACTTCCTAGTATTTCCTCTACAACTTGATGACTACTGAGGCATAAGTAGTCATTTTTCCACAACTGCAAATATTGACGCAGAAATTCATCATCGAATAAAGTGTACCTAGCAGTGCAGCTTTTGGACGTTTCTCAAAAAAAAATCAATTTAACAATCATGGCATCATTTCCCAAATCAAGCATGCGTTGTTTTCATATCATCGACATATCATCAAATCTCTACGGATGTAGATACCATTGGAGCACTTATAGGCGGCACCTGAGGAGTTTTGAAAAGGATCATTTTACTCAAGAGAAACACTGGAAATAAATTGGCGGGGTCGCCAAACTGTCAACAGTATCTTGGAGTAAATCAATTCTGCGAGCATGGACGCAATGCTTATTTTGAGGGCAGTTTCACTGGGCTGCTTATGTCTTCCGCATGCCATCGCGTTTTTCTGAGAAAATTATGTATTTCTAACTGGAATGGCGAACGCAACCAGGTCGGCAATTCAAGCGATACAAATATATCCTCAAGACAAACATGGGAACAAGTTGCATCGACGTGGGTGACTGAGAGGCTAAGGTTCTGGTTCAGAGAGGTTCAGTATTTCGAACAAAAACACAAAGGGATGCGGCGGAAAATCGAATCGTAGAAAAAAGCGGGTACACAAAAACACCCAACAATTTGGGAAAAATTGTAGGTCCAGAATAGAATTATTTAGCTATTCGAGAACTCACGGATAATGATGCTGTCAAGTGTCTTGTAATACTAGTTATCTAGGATGATATTTGAAAATGATTCGGCAATGTTAGAGAAGTCCTTCAATCTTACATCCGCGTCCCGCAGAAAAAAAAAACCGGTACACAAACTGACCAGAGAACTAATAGATATTGCACTTGAAGACTTGTTGCGAAAAACTATTTCGCATTTATGCATTGTCGTGTAAATCTCATGACTTGAAACTCATAACTCAGTAAATTGTATCTATGAAAAACTCTACACGGAACTCTCACTGATTTCCATGAAAAGGAACAAATAAATTGAATCAAGTATTCAATTTATTATCAGACATTCGGTTAGATCCGATATACGCCCTACCATTTTCAGAAATGCAACCTCAAATTTCAAAAACAATGCGAAACAGAAAAAATATGTTAATGCCAGCTAGACAATAAACGTTTTCATTCCAGATTTGTATGCTCTCACTTTGCTAATAAACGTGTTAACCATGTCAAAAACTCGGATTTTACTAAGTAATAGCTTTCATAAAACTAATAATTCCATTGTAATTTTTATTTTTTTATTTTTTTGTCAATTACTCACGAAATTTCTCCGAACGCTGCAAAAGCATCACGCAGCGTTTGTGTTTCGATTTCTGGACTAAGATCTCCAACAAAAATGTGATGATGCTCTGAAACAAAGAAAAAGGTATAAATAAAATATAAGTATTAAAAATGAAAGTTTAAATCACATACCGCAAATTCATACGGGGTACGGTGTTACCATGGATAATAAAAAGTAAATTAGTTGGTCATCTGTTAATCATCATATAAGTTAAAGTTTTTTGCAACCAAGATCCACCGACATATATTTATTACAATTATTACATTAAAGTTATTAATCGACTTATATTTTGTGATTAAGTCCAGGTTACTTCCCTTTCCAAAAATGAGTCAAATAATGAGCTTATTTCATTTATAGTTGCCACACTGTTAAACCCATGGTTCTCATCTGCCATTGCCTTTTTTGAAATAGACTCACTGTCATATGGACATTTAAAAATAAGCATCGATTCACATTCAAAAATGCAAACCTACCGACCTCTATTCGCACAATGCTGAGTTTAACTCTAGTCGAATCAATACCTGCGTAACTGACTGCTTTTCTGTGGGACAACAGCAAAATGAACAAAACCCTGATTATAAGTTAATGTATTTTCTGGTAGATGTCTCTATTCTGTATATTACTTTTACGCAATGCTTTTATGATTCAAATTTATGGCTCTTTCTTCGGGGGGGTTTGTATCTCACTATTTTATGCTATTATTTATAAGTACCTAGCAAGCCAATGCGGCAAACACAAGAATTTGCAACATTGGCTTGATACTTAGGTTCAGGAACATCATAAAACCGCATGTTCTAGGATATATAATGTTTTTTTATCAGGCCGTTTATATTTTAATTATTTATATGATTTTTTAGAATTAATAATATTAACCAAAAACTAAATTACCTAATTAGTAAAAACAAATAAAAATTATCGGAAGATAAGCTTGAGCTCTGCCATATAACTAGGTATAAATTTAGATGAGACCAGGAACGATCACTCAGACAAAAAAGACTTACGATTATCAACGTAAAAATCTTGAAAAAACGATCAAATTTGCCATGCTTAATGCCGCCATATGATAATTGGAAATCTCGGACTCCTTTTGTAACTGCTAAGACCCCTAAAGAAGAAAATCTAGGTCGATGACATGCCATCCTTCCAGGATTCCGTTTCACTTTTCCCAAAAAAAAAGTTTTATCTTAACATGACTCTATTAATTTGATAATTATTATTTTGCGTTATTTTCTGAATAGTAATATTTTTGTCTAATGCTTCAAGATATAGGTATCAAGAACTTATAAAATGTATTTATAAAATCTGCTACGATATTCAATTAATAATTCAATAGCTTGTTTTTGAAAATAAGGAATTTCGATAAAAAGTAATTATTATCTTATCATCGGGAGGAATGGAAGGACATTTTCAAAATTCAAAATACTCTGGATGACTCATGAACACTTCTTGTATTGACATGAAGATGTTTGTATAAAGTACTAGCTGACCCGGCGAACTTCGTACCGCCTCTGAACTAGCTCCGTTAAGCTGGCCCCCCCCCCGAATTGATTTCCGTTGCCAAAATGCTGGCACAGGTAAAATGTAGCTAGCACAACCTAGCACACCAATTTTTAACGCTAGCACACCCATAGTTTAGCAAAAAAATTATTTCGAATTCGGGGGGGGCCAGGTTAACGCTAGCCCCCCCCCCCCCCCCCCGGTTGGATTTACTCAGCCAAAATGCTAGCACAGGTGCAAGATACCTAGCACAACCTAGCACACCATTTTTTAAAGCTAGCACACCCATAGTTTAGCAAAAAAATGATTTCGAATTCGGGGGGGGGGGGCAGGTTAACGCTAACCCCCTCCCGGTTGGATTTACTCACCCAAAATGCTAGCACAGGTGCAAGATACCTAGCACAACCTAGCACACCATTTTTTAGAGCTAGCACACCCATAGTTTAGCAAAAAATTGATTTCCAATTCGGGGGGAGGGGGCAGGCTAACGCTAGCCCCCTCCGGTTGGATTTACTCAGTCAACTCAAAATGCTAGCACAGGTGCAAGATACCTAGCACTACAGTGCCTCTATAGAAGACAGTGGCGACAATAGAGGGACTCATTTTTGATTGGCTGCAGAATATCGGCTATGTTTTGTCGAAAGTTATTTGTGTTTACAGTTTGATTCTATGGAGATTTATGCAATTTTGTGTTAATATATTTTTGTTTTTGTTATTTGTGCCTGTTATTGACTATTTTGTGAGAAAAAATTAGAACAGAAAGAAAAGGAAGAACAAATACATTATTGAATGAGTTCAACAAAACATGGCGGGTGGGCGGAGCTTAGGCGCTATTGTCGCCACTGTCTTGTATAGAAGCACTGTACCTAGCACAACCTAGAACACCATTTTTTAGAGCTAGCACACTCATAGTTTGACAAAAAATTGCTTTCGAATTCGGAGGGCGTGGTTAACGCTAAACGCTACCCCCTCCCTGTTCGATTGGATTTTCTTCGTCAAAATGCTGGCATTGATAGAAAAATACCTAGAACACCAATTTTTAGAGCTTGCAGATCTGTGGAGAAGCCAAAAATTGCTTCTAGATTCGGAGCGCGAAAACATCAAATGAATAATCTGATCGATTTGATTATTCCAATTATTATTGGTTGTTTGTTGTTTCATTAAATCGCAGCTAGGGTTGCCACCTCTCCGGGTTTCACCCGGAGTCTACTGGTTTTTACATGGTCTTCAGTCTCCGGATTACTAGGTGTTTTCTCCGGGTAAAACCGCATTTAACACAAGAAAAAATGCATTTAAAAAAGAAAAATAGAATTTAGCAACAGCGCAATTCTGTTTGTGCAAATACGGTTTCTCTCGGAGAAATTGAGAAATTCTCCGACTCCGACATGCAGTTTGGCGATAGAATAGACAGCCCACGAACCTCAAAGCCTCATAATCTCCCTCAAGGATATTAAACACTACTGTACGTCCGCTCATTGGACTCGATTTTTGGAATCAAGACTATAGTGTTGCACCGTTATCGAAGTCATCAACAGTGTCGTTAACTGTTTGCGTCAGCGGTCGTAGTGTCGTTATGAAGATAGGCTATTCTGTTTAGTGTGTAATATTCTTGAATCTTTTTCTCCAACCGTCTCAACTCCCAACCTCAAGCAATGTTTCCCCAAGCAACATCCGGTGATGCTGGGGAGGGGGGACTTGTGTATATACATATAGACAGATAGTAAAGTGTAATGCATCTGTTGCATTGTAGATCTGCAGATTTTCTTTTTCAGCTTTCTTTCAATAATGGTTATTTTTTTTCTCCGGTTCAACTTACTTTCAAAGGTGGCATCCCTAATCGCAGCTGTTTTTATAATTTTTTTCTACGAGCGTGAGGAAAAGTGCACCTTACCGCACGTTGAGGTCAGGAAAGTATTACTTTTCCGCACTCAAGGCGAAAAAGTAGAAGTCGAGACAAGAAAATTTTTCATCAACTTTTAATTTATGCGTCTGCATGCCACTAAAATTAACACTCTTTAAATTATATAACAGACGATAAAAACTCTAAAGAAAAAGTAGAATACCTGAAATTTTTGTATACATCAGGGTGTCCCAAAAAGATACCGACAAACTTTGAGGGGTAGTAAAGGAACATCAAAACAAGCATTTTTGTTTATATAAACATATGTCCGCAAATAATCCATTTGGGCTGCAGAGCAAAAAAACTGTTTGGTACTCTTATTCTTCGCAATAATTAAATCACTGTTTACCTACTTATTAATTTTGCTTTATTAACGAATAAATTATGGTTTCCTCTGAGGTTTACAATAATTATTCAAAATGTTGACCATTTACTTCAATGAAAAGATTGCACCGTCGGGACATTGACTGAAAAGTTTAGTCTACGAAACACCTGTTCGTAATGAGGAAGAGCAGTTAGCAAGAGAATCTTAGGCAAGGAAAGAGAGGGGACTCGTATCACAGCAGGTGAAAATGAAGCAGTTTGCCACCAAAAAATGTCTGCTTTTTTCATAACATAACCTAGAAAGCATATTGTTTTTTGCCTGTTAAATGTAATCCCGTCGACTTTTTTTTCTCTGCGGGTTTTGCAGCCATATGCTAGCAATCCACCATGCTGAATATCACAAAAATGTTAGTCTGAAGTAAAATTCACATAGTGACACCATGAAAAATTGTCGCCATTATTTGGTGGCAAACGGTCACAACCAGCTGCTAGTGCAGGTAAGGGCAGGTATTATAAAACTGCTTTGACAGTTAACTTGAAGTTAACTTTTTGAATTACATGTAATTCCAGAAGTTAACTTTAAGTTAACTCACAAAGAAGTTTTATAATGCTCGCCCTAAAGGATGTTACGCGTCCTCTCTCTTTCCTTGTCTAAGGGAAGGATACTGGCGAGTTGTAGCCATGTAGAAGCTATTCCCGGAATATTCCGATAGTGCAATCTTTGGATTCCTACGTAGAGTAGGAACAGCAAATCTCTTTACGTGCCAGGTTTGTTAAATGTGTGCCAGCATTTTGACGAAGAAAATCCAATCGAACGGGGAGGGGCTAGCCTTAACCACGCCCTCCGAATTCGAAAGCAATTTTTTGCCAAACTATGAGTGTGCTAGCTCTAAAAAATGGTGTGCTAGGTTGTGCTAGGTATCTTGCACCTGTGCTAGCATTTTGGCTGAGTAAATCCAACCGGGGGGGGGGGCTAGCGTTAACCTGGCCCCCCCGAATTCGAAATCAATTTTTTGCTAAACTATGGGTGTGCTAGCTTTAAAAAATGGTGTGCTAGGTTGTGCTAGGTATCTTGCACCTGTGCTAGCATTTTGGCTGAGTAAATCCAATTGGGGGGGGCTAGCGTTAACCTGGCCCCCCCCCCGAATTCGAAATCAATTTTTTGCTATACTATGGGTGTGCTAGCATTAAAAATTGGTGTGCTAGATTGTGCTAGCTATGTTTTACCTGTGCCAGCATTTTGGTAATGAAAATCAATTCGGGGGGGGGCCAGCTTAACGGAGCTCTCTGAACTATTAAATATACCTATTAAATGTTGTGTTAACGTATCCATTAGCTGAATTAAA